GATCACATTTTATGACAAATTAATGCAGAACACCTTGAAATTCCAAAAGGTTCACATACTTTTTCTTGCAACTGTATGTACAAAGATGGAAAAATATAGAAATACCCACAATGTAAGAGTAGATCATGAAGATGGCAGAACTTGCAGAAATGGCTAAACTGACTTGTTTGACTAGGAAAGGAGCAAAAACTACTTTTATAAAAGACTGGAAACCCTTTATGGACTTTTTGCTGAAAATGAATAAAAATGAACTGGTGATCTCTAGATTTACTGATTTAAAAGGTCTCTATTTAAGAAGAAAGGAAATATATAATTTGGGAGGGGGGAAACAGTATTAATTATATCTTTAACTGCTACAAAGAAGATTGGAAGTCATTTCTTCAAATATATCTTTTTTCTTTATCTATACTGTCGTTAATTTTTCTTCTTTCTTTCCTATTTTTTCTATATCTTTTTCTCTTTCCTATATTCTTTTTTATTTTTATGTAGCTTTTAACTTTGTAAAAAAAGTTTTTTTCAATAAAAATTGTTTTATTTTTATTTATAAAAGGCTGGCAGCACCAATGTTCTCTCAAGAGAAAATGATTTTACAGGCTTGCTCTTATTTACAGTATATTTTAAACTATTAAATTTTGTAAATTTGCGAAGTTTACAGTAACGAATTGATTATCACACCAAGCTCAGCTCTATTTGTTTCGTTTGGAACCAATATGGGAGTACTTACCCATTTTATAGAAGGTGTAGTCTCACTAAGCACAGGGCATGGTTCTGGATTTATTAGTCCCAGTTTCACAAAACCTTCTATAGTTTTACAATAACCCTGGAAAAACAAATGGAAAGGGATTAGGAAATGACACAAACCTTCAGACTTGCTAATCTAATAAGCAAGAAAGTATCTCATGACAAGATTGGAAATCCACTAGCATGGCTTTTCAGCTATTCCTGCAAGCTATTGGTCAGAAATCTGAAGTCCTTGCACTCATGTACAATTGATCAATGGTTGTATCATTCTGCATTGTTTGGCATTTACATCATAAAATCTAGTATGACAGGGAATATTATCTAAATAAATAAAATACAGCTTTGTTTTTCCAAATCACTCATCAATCAAGCCTATTACTGCTTATATCAATTAGCCATTGTTCTGCAAAATGTTAAGCAAATTTCCCTTTGAATTTTGTTACAAGGGAGTTTGGTCTTAAAAATATTAAACAACTGAACTCAAATTCATGCAAAGCATGCCATGTTTCCCTGGGCTGTGACCCACTGCAGCGAGCGTTTGATAGAAATATTTTAAACACAAAGCACAGAAGCTGCAACTCCCATATTTTCTCATTTAAACTTTCAAAGCCTCACTTTATATACAAAGCAGGGGCTATGACAGACATGCCTCCTGTTCCAGAACTAAAAAGCAAAGACCAATTAACTAATATTTTAATCAGTATCAACATACCTTCAATTCTCTGACATAGGTATGCAGTACAAACCACAATGATGCAAAAACAATGAAGTGTGCATTGTGACATCACAACACAAAAGCCAAGCCTTTCACACTTATGTACCAATATCCCATGCAAATACATAAGTCATGTGGTTTGAGTCATGTCACACATTTTGCATTCGCCCCCCCTTTTGCTTCCTCCTATGGATGCCCATCCTCTTTCAATGATCAGTCACACTTCTACAACACCAAATGTACCTACCCTGTATCTTAAAGTTCCTCGTAAGAGAGTGTGAGCTGACTGAATACCATAAGGCTCAGCATATTTTGTACTGTCCCTGTTTGGAAAACCTTCCAAATTTAATCCTGGGAAAAAATCCATGACAGTAACAGAATCAAGCAAAGCTCCTCCGGCTGGAATATTAATAATCTAAGGATTATGAAAAATAACAATCATGTAAGTGTACTATGTTTGAGGACAGGGCTCTCCAAAATTTTAAGTTCCTCCTTAAAAGTGCCTATCTCCCACAAGTGTGAAGGCCGAGGATCTCTTCAAATCTTATTCATGGCCACTTCCTTTCAGATCCCTGCTCTTTCACAAGACCTTGAATGTGCTACATTATACACATAACCTACATTCCCTTAACAGTAACCTTCTTAAGACAAACTTTGACACTGCTTCAAATCTTACTGATTCAGGCCCTAAAAGCATAGGCTACTGATAATATAATCTCACGTTTAAGTCTTTTGAGCTAACAGAAGTTATTATTACTATACCAAACTGTTTGTTCTTCTTCAAATTTGTCTCAAGGGATATGGATGAATTCAAAGCAGAATGAGTGGAAGGGGGAATCTATTCAGAATTAGAGAAAGTGGATGCTCCCTTTCCTGGCTGGTAGCTGACAAATGTTCTTCTTTTCTTTAAAACAGTCTCCATGCTAATTCTCCACTGCCTTCTTTCTTGTTAAGAATGATCACCTGACTACGTAACAGTTAGGTGACCACTGTATGGTTGGGTGATTATTCTAACAAGGAGGAACTTTGCTTAGAAATCTTCCTGCTTTTATACCTGCAAAAAACCACAGTGAAAAAAAAAACTTTCACAGAAAATGGATTCCTGAAAATTCTAGCACCCAATTTAGTCAGACAGTATTTACGTAGTGAAAACTTCTTAACACTTGTAAAATGTTTAGAATCTAGTGGATTCTAAAGGACCACCCACTCATGAGATAGAGTGAACATTCTGCTCAGGTAACGGAACAGAAAACATGATGAATTGGGTCCAACTTTTTTATTCTACTGCCTGATCAGAGTATCCACTCTGTCTCATGAATGGGCAGTCCTTTAGAATCCTCATTTCAGTTACTGCACATCCTAGCACAAACAACATCTAACCTCAGACTACAGTAAATGAATGGACCTACTTTTTGGAGACTGGTGGTGCTAAGAGCAATCACTGAATAAAAGACAGATTTACTAGTATAGACTTTCATGGCCAGTATCTGTTGGGCAGTGTTGGGTTTTAGGGTTTAGCGACCCTGGTTTATTCAACAGATTTCCTGACATTTTTCTGGCAACTCAGAGGCAAGAGGAAGATGCCAGCTGAAGATGCCAGTTGAAGATGCCAGCCACAGTAGAATTAAAGGAATAGTAGAAGCCATAATATCCTACTCCCTGAACTTTAGTTAGACCAGAACTCAGAATTACAGCCTAAAAGAGAAAGTAGATACAGTCAAACTCGTAATGATAATGATTTTGGTTACTGGTTCAATATATATCTTGGGTAAATGCATTAGCCAGTCTAGTTAATACAAGAGGTGATTGATAGCTAAGGCTACATTTCCTTTAGCCATGGATGACGTGGGAAAGACAAATTTACTTTGAAAAGGGGTAGTAATAAGAAAATAGCTATTCCTGGATTGGCTCAATTATATCTGTCCCAGCCTAATTTAAACTGAAAATGTTTGTTTATTTGTTTATTTATATTTCAAACAAAGAGTGACTGAGTGTTTTTCCATACAACAAAAATAATTATTAATTAAATACAATTAAAATACAATAAAAAACCATGTTCATACATAATTTATAAATGTAAAATTAAAAACTGACATTGTTTACTTCAAAAGAATTTTTAAAACTCCTCAACAAGATCTAGCTATAACCCATATTTTCATTTTAACATATATATGTATATACATGAAAGCCAGTTTGGTATAGTGGTTAAAAGCACCAAGCTAGAAACCAGGAGTTCTGGTCCTGCCTTAGGTATGAAGCCATCTTTGGGCCAGTCACTTTCTCTCAGTGCCAGGAGAAAGGCAGTGGCAAATCACTTGTGAAAATTTTACCATAAAGGGCATGGACTTGAAGGCACTCCACACACACACACAAATGTATATACTTCAAGAGAGAGATTACGTCACCTCTCCATCTTTTAAATATGTTGCCGGTTGAACTGTGTTCAGTAGGACTCCCTGTGGACTCCAGCTAAATTTATATCTCAGGGGATTGTCAGAATATTCAGGAGCAGGCAAGCCTCCACAGAAGGAAGTGTAGGATATCACCTGAAGTTGATTAAAATAAAGAACTCAATTTAAATTCAATTAATTTATGGGTATCCAACAGACATTTCTGAATTTATTTAACATAACCTAACTCTACATTCCCCTTCATGGATCACTGCCTTGTCGTGGCGAAGGGGCTTGCGTAACTCAGTGAAGCCATGAGCTATACCGTGCAGGGCCACCCAAGAT